CATGCAAGCGTTGATGTACCCATGACTATCAAGCGCGCTGATGACATCCAGGGGCCTTATAAACGGGTAGCTTCGAAGTTGACCAGCTTGCCCCAGCTCAACGCGGCAAATCGGCGCTCCCAATGATTTCTGGTGCTTGGCCAGCGTTTTGATCACATGTTGTTCAGCATCTTTTAGCCTTCCCTTCGCCAGCTCTTGCAAGCAAATATCTGTTGCAGCGTACTCCTCTACATCGAGTAAAGCGCTTTCCACTACATCACAGGCTGGCACCTTCAAGTGTTTTGCTGCATTCCCCGAATCTTATCATTGCACTCCAGGACTTAGGCCCAAGCTCCCTTAGCCAATTGCTTGGCCAAGTGGTCCGCTCTGCGGCTGCCAGACGGCGCATTGACGGTTTCACCTGGCTTGTCAAGCCCGCAAGCTGGAAAATCCAAACAGCCTTATGGCACCGCTGGCTGGTGAGCTAAGCAATTGTGTGTTGCCTGTTTTCTCCCTCGCGTGTCTGCAGGGATAAGCCAGCTTGCCAGTGGCAATTCAGATGCACCACCCCGGCCAGTGCAGGTATTCCCGCACAGGAATCTAAATTGCTGTGTCACAGCATGGAAAACATGGCCCAACAAAGGATTGTGCCCCTTGCGTGTTCAATTGAAATAGTCCGCTCCTAACTGGCTCAACTGCCACATGACTGCCCAGGGCAAATGAAGTTTGTCAGGCCACCTAAGTTGCCATTGCACCCTAATGAGGGAGATCATTCCCATCAAATCAGCCAGGCTTCAAACATGCACAAGTGTAGACTCACGTTCTGGCAGATCGCAATTAAGGGTCGTAGTGCTTTTTTTGGGAATGATCTTACCTCAATCCCCCTTGCATTTCCTCTGCCTGGTTTTCGGCGTAGGGTTCTGCTTTGCCTTGGCCTTTGGCTTAGGCTTAGGCGAGCCCTCAGCGGTCTCCTTTTTCACCTTCTTGAACTTCCTGCAAGGTTGAGTTTGCAAAGGGACAGCGCAGGGTTGACAGCAAGCAAGTCCTGTTCTTGGCCTCCAAGGAGATAGCGAGGGCTGCCCTGGGCTGCATGAACGATGGCACTTCGGCAAAGCCTGGCCCTAAGAAGGTCAACGAAATGAGGTTAAGATCAGTTAAGATCCAAACTGACGACGCACTGTTTGCATGACTTCTTCAAGCTGCTCCGGCCTGAAGCTCGTGCGCATGGTGAACCACTTGTCGCATCAACGCAACGTATCGCAACAACATTCATCCTTGCCACCGGGCAGCCTTTTGCCAACCTTGATGTCAGCAGCCTGCTCGGCAAGCTGGTCATACAGGGTGCCCAGCTTCTCTTCCACCTCTTCCATTTTGCAAAGCTCCCTAAGACGCAGGTCATGCGTGATACGTTGTTCTGCACCATGTGTATGCGCGCTTATAAGGCCTGCACGGTTTGAGCGCTGGAGCATCATGGTCCAGTTTGTCAATGGCTTTGCGTAGCTTCTCGCGGGAAGCAAGGCACTCATCCATGTACTTTTTGACAGTGTCCTGGCGCGTGCCATTGAAAGGGCGCCGGCGTTACAAACGTGGTACGCAAGCTGCCATGTTTACAAGGTCCTCTGGCAAAGATCCTTTGGGCCCTTCCAAGGAACAAAGTCCAGAGCCATTGTGCTTGAAGGATGTGTCCATGGACCCAGGGATGGAAGCTGTGGATGCTTGGCCCTGACCGCTGACCGAAGTGGTGAGCTGTTCGGTCTCGCTCTCCCCCTTCACCCCCGAAGTTCTGACGTCCACCCAATACTCAATGACCTCTTCATCATACTTGTTCCGCCTTGGGTCGCGACGAAAACATCAAAGCGTGGGGGGGGGGGCTTTTTCAAACACCTGAGCCCTATGTATGCTTTATAATCATGCATCAAAACAGCAAAGATTCGAGGCTTTAGTGTAGCGTTTACAGGCCTTCGGCCTTCACAAGCTAGGGCCTTCGCAGGCCCTGCCGGCAAACCTATCAGGCCTTGAAAGGCCCAGACGTTGAGGGGCCCTTTGCAGGCCCTGGCCCAAGGGCCTTTGCAGGCCCTGGCCCAAACAGTGAAGGCCTTCACAGGCCCAGGCCAAGGGCCTTTGCAGGCCCTGGCCCAAACAATGTTGAAGGCCTTCACAGGCCCAGGCCAAGGGCCTTTGCAGGCCCTGGCCCAAACAATGTTGAAGGCCTTCACAGGCCCAGGCCAAGGGCCTTTGCAGGCCCTGGCCCAAACAATGTTGAAGGCCTTCACAGGCCCAGGCCAAGGGCCTTTGCAGGCCCTGGCCCAAACAATGTTGAAGGCCTTCACAGGCCCAGGGCAAGGGCCTTTGCAGGCCCTGGCCCAAACAATGTTGAAGGCCTTCACAGGCCCAGGCCAAGGGCAAGGGCCTTTGCAGGCCCTGGCCCAAACAGTGCTGAAGGCCTCCACAGGCCCCCTTCACAGGCCCAACTCAAGGCCTTTGCTGGTGAAGGCCTTCACAGGCCGTTAAGGGCCTTTGCAGGCCCTGGCAGCAAGGCCTTTACCGTGCTGAAGGCCTTCACAGACCCAGGCCAAAGGGCCTTTGCAGGCCCTGGCCCAACATCAAGGCCTTTGCAGACCAAAGGCCTTTGCAGGCCCAGGCCAAGAACCTTTACACAAAGCTGGCTAAGGGCCTTCTCAGGCTTTGTTGCTCTTTCACAGGCCCAGGCCCAAGGCCTTTGCTGGGCCTTGGCAGGCCCAAATTTCCTTGTTGGCATGCCAAGGGGCTGCGTCAGCTCCCCATGGCTTTCACAAAACTCCTTGGCTTTGGCCACCATTTTCCTGAAGAAGTCACGGGTGAAAGCACACGTGATTTGCAATAGGATTCAGTCGATATCGTTGTAAGGGTGGCGCTGTGACCAACCCAGACCTCCTTCCGACACGGGCTTCCGCATGTCGGCTTCTGAGTAGAAGCCTCCTTTTGTGGCCAAGTTCTTGTACCTCTCCCCAGTTCTGCGCAATTCGACACGTTGAAGGAACAGATCCTGCAATCAAGCATGGCATGAATAACAGTCACAAGCGTACCTGCGCACGCCAAACTGTATGCCCGACGCATGACAGACAGTCTCCTTGTTTCGACCTGCGTCCATCATCATCTGGATCAAATTGTTGCGCTTAGGGCCCTTGCACATCCATTCACTGGCCAAATCCGGCGGCACCTCCAACTTGCCGCTGGATTTGACTTCACACATCCGTCTCAGCTTTGCAGCTGCTGCGCACCAGGCCGCGCTGTTGTCGACCTCGCTTGTTTTCCTGCTCGGTGGCGTCGGGCTTGTTTGCGCTTGCAGTTGCAATTGCTGGGGCGGCAGAGCTGTGCTTGGCGTCGCCCCCAGAAGCTCTGCCCACGTGCGGGGCTGACGGGCAACCGGTTGGACGGGTGTTGCAGCGCCATCGGCTGCCTGCGGCTCAGCAACTTCCTGGTCAGCTGGTGCGCTGGCCCTGGCTTTCTTTGCAGATGTGGGAGCAGCATCCTGCAAGTCTGCCGCGCGTTTCTGGCCGTCCTCAGTATTTACAATCAAGTGGCACGATTGTTGCGTTTGCCCGCCAACACGCAAGTCAAGGAGCTTGTTGGCTCATGGACTGCAGACCGACCAACAAATCCTGCACGCACATTGTAGGTCGCGGCAATGCGCGTTGGTGTGTGTGTGTATGGTGTGTGTGTGTGTGTGAGTGTGTGAGTGTGTGAGTGTGTGAGTGTGTGAGTGTGTGAGTGTGTGAGTGTGTGTGTGTGTGCTGGGTCCTCGATTGGCAAGGTCTCAGCATCGGACACATCCTGGTCTCCTTCTGAATCAACGACCATGTACGGATCGGCCAGCGCCTCAGCCTGCTGCATGTCAGAATCGCTTGCAGGATCCTTACGTGGGCCAAGACGCATGCACACACACACACACACACGCACATGTTACCAAGCAAGCAGTTGTGCGGTCTGAACACACAGATTGAGCTGGATACATAACCCAACAACGGTTGCACGTGCGTGAGCACTGTACTAAATGCGCACATGCTTCCAGTTGCATGCGCTGCTCTGCCTCCTCCAGTGTTGGGATGTCATTTTCCCAATAAGGGTCTTGGCTATCAGGTAGGGTATCATCCGCCCGCACCATGTTCTCAACCTCCTCTTCCATGCAGTTAATGACGTCATTCTCCGTCAAGGAGCCCACCAACTCGTCGGTTGCAGCTTTTGCAAGTGACACAGGTGAAAACAAAGGACGGACCGGGGTAGGCGTCTCAGGTGTGTCAGGGTCTTGCTGGGCAAGCGGAACCTCCTCAACCAGCGGTGTCCCATGTTTGTCTGCATGTCCACGCAAGCGTGCGCCGAGCTCCTATAGGCTTATGAGATGCACGCAGGTCAAGCGCAACAACGCAGCATGCGGCATCACATTTTTGAACTGCTTTTGAAATGGAGGAGAAAGGCCGGCAATATAGGTGCGTTTGTCAATTCCGGTCCTTGATCACGCTTTGCAGCTTGTCCGGGTCATCAGGCAGCTCCAACTTAACTTGCTTACCCTCCTCAAGATGCGCCAAACCGTGCTTAAAGGTGGAGCCACTGCGTAGCCCGCTTCTAAACGAATGCGGGGAAGCTGACATGGCACAAGCGCTAAGTCCACTCTAAGCAGGCAGCAAAGCTAAGACACAAGTCTGCGGCACCCATGCATGGTCAGGGTTTGGTTTGTACGCTTTTGTACGGGTTTTGTACGGATTTTGTACGGATTTTGTACGGAAAAATACGGTCGCAGCGTGACAAAAAAACGGTCGCAGTATGAAAGATAAGTGGTCGGTTGCAGGAAAGTGGTCGTGGATTGCAAAAAATACGGGCGCTTAACCAAATAAACGGTCGTGCCCTGCAAAAGAAATGGTCGTGCGAGATAAAAGTGGTCGGCATATGAAGGAATTACGGGCGTCGTGCGAAATCTAAACAGGTACATGCCTATTTTTCACATAGTTTGGCAACAAAACGCATTTTTTCCAGCCAGATTTGCTTCAAAGCTTGTCAGGTAGCAAGCAGCGCCACTCTTCGGGCACCTTAAGCCCTTTGCACTGGCGCAGGTAGCGCGCAACCTGTAGAAGATTACCATCTTCGCACATATCAGAATAACCCGCCCTAGCAAACGCCTCTTGCGCCTCTGACTCAGAGGCGTGAAGTGGAAACTCGCCATTTGGCTTCAGCTGCCCAGTTTCAAACATATATCTAATGCGGCGGCCAAAAGCTTTGGGATACTTCCTGAGCGCGGCTGCGCCCAACCGATGCGCATGCACACTAGCACATTGCACGCGCATTTTGCAACACCCTGCTTCTAAGACTCCCAGTTTCCGTGAGCTGCTTGGTTCCTTGCCAGGAAGACTTGCCTTGCTTGTTGACATACTTGATCGTTGGCCGAAAGTTCGGATCCTTCTTGAAGGTCTTGGGATTCAGCAGGGCAGAGCTGAAGAGGGCACCGATACCACCGGCATTACTCCATACCAAGGACCTCTTTGGTGTTTTGGATCCAAAAGTGCCCATCCAAAAGGCTATGCGCCAGACCTGCAAGCATGATTGCAAGGTTCTTTGGGGTGTCTATATGGGAATCATGCCGAGGGCACTGGAACGGAACAGGCCAGGAATTGCATGCGGCTGTACTGAAACAGTAAAGATGATCTGGGCTGCTCCAACGCAAATGTGGAGCCAGTCACAGCAATCAAAAAGCATAGCATTGAGCACCTGCATATGGCACTTTTGTTTGGGGGGAGTGTGCAACACAGATCACAAAAGGACAAGCAGGCCTGCAGGCCATGCAATTGCCCTGCGCCACCGCAGCAAAAGATTCGATGCCTTGTGGCACCAGGAAGGTGCGGCATGTGGACCCCCGCGATGTTGCGATCCAGGATGAACACAACACGCCGAACCAGGCTAGGAACTCTGGGCGCCCTCGAAGGCTAGCCGCAATCCACGTCCTTACATGACACAGCGCCATGAATGTTCAACGCTATTGCAGTTGTAAACTCACATGCGCATTCTCGATGATTCTCGATGCAGCCAAACCACACCATTCCACCATCAGTGCACACATCATGTGCATATGAATTAAGTTTGTCCAGCGACGCAACCCGGAATCCGCCAGCCCTGCATTCAGCTGACAAGCTGCCACAGCCAGAGAAAAACTCGATCACGTGGTAGACCTGCGCAGGGAAGGGTTCTGTGCATGCAATACACCCATGCGCAAGCACTTTTGCACGTGTGCTTCAAGCATGCTGATGGCTGATCCCGAAACCTGCAAACGTGTTTTTTTCCGCTTGCCGGCACCGTGCAGTCTTACTTCTTCTTGCGCTTCGTCATGCGCTTGTCGATGTCACTTGGTTCCGCTGGCCTCGCTTTTGTTTGCGGAGGCGCTTGTCCGCGCCACTCAGTTGGCGCTTTGCGTGCTGGTTCTGCAGGGCTCCTCGTCTCAGCTGGAGCTGGGTGAACAGGCGGGCCCTGAAAAGGGCCTTTGTAGCTCCGAGGTGGCTCAAGGGGTTCAGGCACTCCATGTGCATGTTTTGGGCGTGCTCCATCGGGCCGATGATCTGCATGAGGCGAAGCGGCTTGATGAGCCGGCTGGCCAGCTTGATGCCACTCAGATTGCAATGAACCGGGAGGCCCGTGATGCATCGGTTGATGTTGCTGGGGCTCCGGTTGGTCTCCGCGATGCTGGCGCTGATGTGGTCCTGCTTGCGGCTCGTGTTGGCACGGCGGTCCTCCTTGCTCGGGTTGGCGCAAAGGTCCTCCTTGATGCTCCGGTTGGCGCGGCGGTCCTCCTTGATGCTCCGGTTGGCGAGGTGGTCCTCCTTGATGCTGGGGCTGGCGCAGCGGTCCTCCTTGATGCTCGGGTTGGCGCGGTCCTCCTTGATGCTCCGGTTGGCGAGGTGGTCCTCCTTGATGCTCAGGTTGGCGCGGTCCTCCTGGATGCTCGGGTTGGCGCGGCGGTCCTCCTTGATGCTCCGGTTGGCGAGGCGGTCCTCCTTGATGCTGCGGTCCTCCTGGATGCTCGGGTTGGCGCGGCGGTCCTCCTTGATGCTCCGGTTGGCGCAGCGGTCCTCCTTGCTCGGGTTGGCGAGGTGGTCCTCCTTGATGCTGGGGTTGCCGCAGCGGTCCTCCTTGCTCGGGTTGTGGTCCTCCTTGATGCTGGGGTTGGCGCAGCGGTCCTCCTTGCTCGGGTTGCGGTCCTCCTTGATGCTGGGGTTGGCGCAGCAGTCCTCCTTCATGCTGTGGTTGGCGCCGTGGTGCACCTTGAAGGTGATGCTGCTCAGGTTGATGTAGCCCTCCAGGCTGGGGCTGCAGCTCAGTTTGGCACGGACCAAACCCGCCGCAATGCTGGGGTTGCAGACGAGGTTCAAAAGCCACAAATTGCTGCGGCCCAAGCTGATGCTGGGGCTGCAGTTGAGCAGGAGGCCCCCCACATCCAGGATGGGCAAAGGGCCCAAGACACCCATGATGCTGGGTCAGCGGCACCTGCGGTTGCTGGCCGAGTCCTCCACAGAAGCTTGCTCCTTGTTGAAGGGGTGGCCCAGGCTGCAAAGGCAGCCCAACCGGGAAGGCCACCGGAGGAGTGGGCGGGAACAATGCCGGAGGCGCTGCCGTCAAGAGCTTGAGCTGGGACTGCATGTCCTTGAGCTGGGACTGCATGTCCTCCATGGTGCCAGCCATGTGCGCCACCAAGCTGATCAGCGAGACGACTATCTCGCCAAGGGGCTCGCCGAGGGGCCCGCCGAGGGGCGCTGGCCGTGAAGGCTGCGCGTCCGAGGCAGCCTCCGCATCCGGAGCAGGCTGCCGGAGCTTCTCGACCATGGTCAGCAGCAAGTCTTTGTGTTGGGCTCCTCCGTGTTGCTTTGACCGTGGGTCCGCATCACGTTGCCGCCTGGAGAGCTGTTCCAGTTGACCCACGGCCTCCGCGAAGTGGCCATCACCATCTAGGCCACCGCGTTGCTGCACCGCATGCAGCAAAGCCCTGGTCGCCTTGCGCATAGCCGTGGACTCGCTTCCACGGGGCATCTTGAGATTGAGACAGCCACGCAAATCATGAATTAAGTTGGCATCACACATGGAGCATTTTGATGCAGTGCACCCTGTTTCCCCGTCAGCCCTTGGGTTCCCGCCTGGTCGACGTTGATGCTCTCGTTCCAGAGCACGAGCAAAACGCACAGCACGAATATCTGGGAGCGCACGGGGATTATGGCGTTGTGCGATTGAAGCTTGCAAGATAACAAATTCTTCCAAGGAGCCTTTGGCACTTTCAATCTAAGAAGCCCAACAACGATGCCATCAGCGCGTGACCCCATTGGACCACACCGGTACCAAACCCTGCACACCCCAAACGGCTGCAAGCTGCTTAAGTTGAATTTGTGAATACGCACCTACAACGATCACAAATGGGCGATCGAAGCAAATCTTGCCAGAAAGACCTGCAGCATCACTGAGCTCGGGCTGCCTTGCTAAATGGCGCAGGCCCTTGAGGCGTCGTGGAGGCATCCATTTGCCTGCACGCGTGTGTGCGTGCGCGTCACACTGAAGTACGCACGGTCACACAGCACCAATGCATCCCGAGATTATGCACATGCTGTTTGTGCATGCATGGATTTGTTTTACGCACGGCCCACACTGCAAGCACTGCCAGGATATCTATGCAGCCCTTGCACCCCCAGAACCCCTGCACACATGTGCTCGCCCCCTCAATGGCCATAAAAGATCATCCGGTCTCAGCAGTTGGGATCACCTTCAAGGGATGAATCACGCAGGCTCACACCAGTCGTGCAATAGGCACACGCAGGTTAAATGCTTGCAAGTGTATTTTTTTTAACACCCCACCCCTGTCTCCTTGCCGTCTTTGACAAACTCCTCTGCCGCATGAATGTAGAATGCCTCGAGGTCTTTGGGCGACTCGGATTCGCCGTGCTTCTCCCACTCCAAGGTCACGAACTTCCAGAAGGCAACCTGGCCGCTTTAGCGCGGGGCAAGGGAATTGAGTTGTAAGCCGCATGTTTGTTGTTGCGCTCCTGATGGAGCAATGCGTGCACATGATTTATAAGCATGTAGCCTCTATCTTCGACTTCAGCTTTTGGTTGCCCAGGATCTTGTGCACAGTTTTGTTGAAGGCAACGAACTTCTTTTCCCAGTGCAGGGCTGGCTTGTCCCCTTCGGGTCGGTAACGCCGGGCGAAGGTTAAGGGAAAGCCAGGCAAGGCAGTTTTCTTGGCCTTCTTGGCGCCAGTAGCAGATCCATCCTCATCGCTATCCTTCTCATTCTCCGTGTCGGTTTCCGCTGAGCCTGCCTTGCGTTTGGAGGCCTTCTTTGTCGTTTTTGTTTTGGCGCGAGGCGTGGTCTTTGGCTTTGGCTTTGCTTGCGCCTTTGCCTTTCTGCTTTTTGAGGGCAACTCCTCAGGAGTCTCCTCTTTGTCTTTGTGGTCCTCTGCCTTGTGTTTCTTGCCCTTGCCCTTGCCCTTTTTGCCTTTGCGTGGGGCGACCTTGCCTTCCACGGTTTCCCCCTCGTTTCTCTTGTCCTCAACCTGCTCCTCCTGGGCCTCCTTGTCCTCGTCGTTCTTCTTCTTGTTTTTTGAGGCCTTCAAAACCAGCTGGTCGTTGCGTGTCACCTCACACAGAGTGTGCAAATTCCACACGTGCGTGCCTAGGGTAAAGCATGCGTGCGCTCAGGAGCACAGTAAGCGCTGGCAAGGAGCAATCTTTGCAGGGGAGATTTGCAACTCGGTCGGCGCGGGCTTGTTCTCAGGCGTCACCGCATCATCTATGTGAGATTCAATCGCCAGCGTGTTGATAGCCATTGGGATTGTTTGCTGCTCATCCCATGAAATCTTCCCGCGGTCACCTTCATCACCCTCATCATCGATAACAAGCACAATCTGCTGATGACCTGAGATCGCACGGGCTATATATTTTATATGCTTCACGGTGTCACATGCATCTTTTGCATCTAAGCATCTTTTCTCTTGTTGCTGCATCCTTGAGCGCTCAGCCGCCATCCTAAAGAGTCCGCGGGTGTTAGCTCCGTGCAAAGGAGGCATGCGTTCCACATAACACATGCACGCGCACACACGCACACACACATCCGAGTCTCAGCTGCTTAGCCTTCAGCTTCTTCTCAGCCGCCGCCAGCATCTTGCGAAGTGCTTCCTCCGTCATCTCATCCATAGCCGCCTCCTTGCCCACACTTGAAGCTGCATCGCTGGTCGTAACCGGTGAAAGAATCTCTGTAGGCGTCCAGGAGCTCTCACCAGCGTCGTCACTCTCCAAGTTCTCTACGTCCGAGTCATCCAAGACAACCGCAGCAGCTTGGGGGCCAAGAGCCTGCATGCAGAGGCAAGCATTTACACGCGAGTGTATAGGCTCGATCATGCTTAACGAGTAGCACTCTCCATCTTCACGTATGCGCGGTTATAGTACTCAACCAGGTCCCTCACGCGACGGTCCTTAATTTTGCATGAGGGAGAGCCCACTCGCATCGTGTTACATATTCTACCAAGTAGCTCTGGGTCGCTCCTGCCGCTGCCATTTTCTTCGCAGAAACGTGAGCATTCTTCGCAAGCTCCATGCGTCCGTGTGGGCTACCAGCTCCACTTGTTCCGCGTTGTGCGGGTTGTGGGCCAGCTGGTGGAAGCGTAACGTCTCAACGCTCAGAGCCTCAATGCTGGGCGTCTTGAGGCAGCCAACTGCCTCCATGCGAGCCACGTAGTGGGTCAGCAGCTCAGCATTCACCACCACGTAGCTGTACGCTTTGAACGTCTTGGTCTGCACGCAGTCCTCCGGCTTCTGCACAAGGTGCTGCCCGGAGCTCGATCGGCTCCTCCACCGTCTCTGCTTTTCAAGGTCTTCGTGAAGACCTTCTAGCCATTCCTCGTGACCCTGAAACTTGTAGCACACGTCATCCTTGCCACCCGACTGCATGGCTCAGCACGGGCTTAATGCTGGGCCAGTCCAAATCACTGCGGCTCACACATGTTGCACATCTTCACGGCATGCGCGAGCATAGCAACACGCACACACACAAATCCATGGATGGTGTGCCTGGACCCAATGACCGCGTAGCTGAGGTTCCAGTCTGAGCAGCTCTATGGCATCGAGGATGGCATCAGTCCACGCGCATGCCGTGCTGCAATGGGCTTGTGAAAGCCCATGTGGCTCGGCAGGGCCTGCAAAGGCCCAAATGGGCTTGTGAAAGCCCATGTGGCCAGGGCCTGCAAAGGCCTAAATGGGCTTGTGAAAGCCCATGTGGCCAGGGCCTGCAAAGGCCCAAATGGGCTTGTGAAAGCCCATGTGGCCAGGGCCTGCAAAGGCCCAAATGGGCTTGTGAAAGCCCATGTGCACGCAGCGGGGCCTGCAAAGGCCCCTATGGGCTTGTGAAAGCCCATGTGCACGCGGCGGGGCCTGCAAAGGCCCCTATGGGCTTGTAAAAGCCCATAGGGGTGAAAACCCACATGCTGATTGCAAGAGTCAACATGTAAATATATATATTATGTATAGTACATGCCACGTATGAAAAAAAATGGTCGTTCCAAAAAAAATGGTCGTGCGAAACAAAAATGGTCGTGTCGCACCGCAACCAAAAAACGGCAGTCGTTTCAGGCCCCAGGAAGGTAGCACTCGTAGGTTTTCTGCCTCCATCGGCACCAATTAATCAAGGACCAACATTAGGCCGCGCCTCAGCCCAGATCTTCGACCAGTATAACAGAGATGTGACCGACACTGGCCGCCAACCAGCTTCCACCCCAACGTCCGCTGACAGTTGTCGAAAGGACACTGCGCCAGGGGCATCTGGCAGGACGCGACGAAGCCACTGGTCATACTCAGGAGGCACCGGAGTGGTACCTTGAAGCCGCTTGTGGTACCTTGAAAGCCACTCGCTGGCACCCGCTGCGCTGCGTGGCTCAGAGAGTCGGACATTGCACACGGTGATGATCGGTAATGGCACGAAGCAGAACAAAATTGCTGCAGAAAAAACAGCGCGCGACTACGGGGTTAACCTCGTGAGTGCTCAAGCCACGCTGGTCATGAACCTTCGAGCTAAGTCAGGTCAGGGCATGAACCTTCAAGCATCAAACGCCTGAAGCACGTTTGGTAAGCAATGTCGTCCACCCGGGTTTGCGGAATGGGCGCTTCTTCTGGTGTCTTTAGGCTTGGCCTGGCAAAAAAAACACACGTGGACATGCTATGTCGTGCCCTGACATGCCAAAAGACAGCCTTGCACACGCAACCTCTGTTCTTTTTCTGGCATCCTTGCGAATTATGGTTCTTGGGAACGACAACACAAAGCTCACCAACAGCACCTGGCAAATTGACAAAGCTTTCAAGAAACACGGGGCCAGTTTGAGCAATGAGACTTCAACTGCCTGACGCGGGCCTGCAGCGTGCTTCTTCTGGCGCCTTTTGCTCTGGCCTTGGACTACTACGGCAGGACAAAAGGGGGCACGATAGGGCACATCGGCAAGAGAGAATACGAATGGGCTTGTTACATCTGCCGAAATGCCAAAGAGTCTTGATCCGCTAACGACCACTCGTCGTTAGGGGATCTGATCCGCTAACGACCACTGGTCGTTAGCGGATCATGGAGCTGGGCCATGGAACGTTGCAATGTACCCATGTGCGCGCGCCTGATCCGCTAACGACCACTGGTCGTTAGCAGATCAAGCATCGAGGCAGAGAATACAGGCCAGCTCTCCACTCAGGGCTACAGTCGCCTATGGTGGCTTCCACTTCCGTTACTGCGACTTCCAATCTTCTTCTGACCGGCTTCTCCCTCCAGCACACTCCCATCTATTCCCATCTCCCTCCTCCCCTGCGACGCCTTGGGTAGATGAGTCGCGCTGCCATCGGATATCTGAATCAACTGGATGTAGGTCGCCTTAGACGCTGCAAAAGCAAGTCTTACTCGTGCAAAAAGAACGGTGGAACATGAAATGAAGTGTTCATGCATGCCCACCAGTTATCAGGGGTCCCCCCCTCACCTCC